TCCATGATTTTTTGTATGGCAGGCAATTCACGGTCTTCACTGACCATAAGCCTCTGCTGGGATTGTTTACCACACGTAAACAAACTCCCCAAATCATTTCCCCAAGAATGCTTAGGTGGTCTATTTTTCTGTTTGCATATGATTTTTCCTTACTCCACAAGCCTGGGAAAGAAATGGGCCATGCTGATGGCCTCAGTAGATTGCCTCTGCCAGTAGTAGAAGCTGACCCTGCGCCAGCTGTCAACATTCTATCTATCCAAGCCTTGCCGAGCTCCCTCTTAGTGCCAGGGATGTTGCCGCTGAAATAGGTACATATCACACACTTTCACGTGTCCGTTCCTGGGTTTTGTCTGGTTGGCCTGAGCACTGCCCTAGTCCTGAGTTTCAGAGTTTCTGGTCCAAAAGGAACGAGTTGTCCCTTTCTCAGGGTTGTCTGCTTTGGGGAAACAGAGTTGTCATTCCCACCTCAATGAGGACTAGGGTCTTAGAATCCCTCCACGAGGGTCATCCTGGCATTGTTCGTATGAAGGCTCTTGCGCGCAGCCACTTGTGGTGGCCTGGTTTAGATAAAGATAGTGAGGCTAAGGTGCATGCATGCCACCTGTGCCAACGATCTTGCCCAGAGATGCCCCAAGCTCCCGTGCATAGATGGGAGGAAACACAGTCCCCATGGTCTAGGGTGCACATTGACTACGCTGGGCCCTTTCAGGCCAGTTCTTCTTGGTCCTTGTTGACAGCCATTCAAAATGGCTTGAGGTTGTACCTGTCTCATCCACCACCACTGCAAAGACTATTCAGGTACTGAGGGGAATTTTTGCTGCACACGGGCTTCCAGATGTCATTGTGTCTGACAACGGCCCTCAATTCACTTCCTCCGAATTCCAAGCTTTCTTACAGGCTAACATGATTCGTCATGCCACGTCTGCACCCTTCCACCCGTCCACTAACGGTATGGCTGAATGTATGGTGCGCATCACAAAGGACGCCTTGAAAAGACTCACCTACGGGGACTGGCATCACAGGTTGGCTGACTTTCTTCTTTCTTATCGCACCACACCGTCCACTTCTACAGGGAGAAGCCCAGCTGAACTTCGTTGGGGGCGTCAACTTACTACTAAACTTGACCGGTTGCATCCGGACAGATTGCCTTCATCTACCTCACATCCTAGGGCATCTAGACAACTACTTGAGGGTGCCCCGGTCTGGACTCGCAATTACGGGCCTGGTCATACCTGGGTCCCCGCTTCTGTTTCCAGGGTCACGGGTCCTCTATCCTACGAGGTAGCCCTGGACAACGGTCGTGTCCTGCGCAGGCACATCAACCAACTCCGCCCTAGGCGGCATCTTCCAGCTGAGACTCGTGGGTCTTTTTCCGGGGGGGAGGGGGACCCTTTGGAGCAAAGGGAAGGGCACGAGCTGCTGTCCATCTCCACTGATGGAGCCACTGACGGCCCATTTCAAGCTTCCGCAAGTGCTCCGAAAAGGAATTCATGGAGCTTACCCACACAACAGGCACTCACGCCTACTCCAGCCAGGGAGTCACCCCGGGGGCATACTCACTTTCCACACACATCACACAACACTCCAGTCACGGAGGGTACCCGGGAGCATCCCAACAAATCAGTCCCCGCAAGAGAGCTGGCACACAATCCCCAGAGTTGGCCTGACCTTACCCCTAATCCTACAGGGGGTCAAACTTACAGGGAGGTGGTCGAGGAACCAAGTCCCGACCGCAACACCGCTAGCCCAAATCAGGGAGTAACTGAGTTTTGGGAAGGTACAGAGACCCACACGAGCCCGGACACAGAACGGGGCTTAGGGATTGGACAGCCTCCTGACAGGTCTTGGACGGACCTAGAAGGTTCTATAGAGACGCCCAGCAGTGGCTATCACTTCAAGGGGCCCGAGGGCCTACAGCTAGGCGGGTCAACCAGGTCACAAAGTGACAGGAGCCCTGGCCTGACGAGCCCGGTGGGCAAGCAAGCAGGCCAGGCATTGGGGCAAAGTCCTTGGAAGGCACCAAGGCATGATAAGGGGAACAGGCTCTTGTCACCCCTCAGTCAGGGAACGCCTATCAGAAACCCAGAACTGAGAAGGTCAAAGAGAGCAAGGAAATCTCCTAAATACTTAGAAGATTACATAACATTGCTGGCTAAACAACAGCCAGGTAACGATAGGAGCACTGGGAAGCAGAACACTGCATAAATAAATGATTATATGTTGGTAGTAGTTTTAGCCTGGGGGAAAGGGGTGTTATGTCCCGAGCCTTGCAAATGGCTCGGGGCGTTTGCAGGCAGTCCCGGGCAGGTGCAAAGCTGCCCGGGACCAGACAGGCTGTCACCAGCGCCGTGCGCATGCGCGGGTGCTGGTGAGGGAAAAGTATCGCATTGACCCGGGAAATGCCTATATAAGAAGCTGGGAGATTTTGGGAGCTGCTGAAGCCATCTACTTGTAAGCTGAACGCAGAATAAAGAAAACTGAGAACTACAACTGCTTCTCGTGTCTTACCTTTCCGCGAAGGACTCAACAGTGTCCTTGCTTCTTCTTGACTCATTCATTAAACACACTTCATCAGCTTTCCCAATTAGGCAGCCTTCAAGTGCCTATTCACCCATGGTTAGTAAATTTTGCCTGGCTGGCTAAAAATGGTGGAAACTATAGTCTAAATGCCTTGGAGTCTATTGGGGTAGAAAAAACTGATCTTGTCAGAGAAGATGGAGAGGGGTTTTGCTTTGTTTTTTATCTATGTTTTTGCATCTACTTTTTTTCCCCTCCAGCTTGATGATCCATACATCTATACACTTTCCAATTTAATCCATAGCCAAATCCAGCTTGCAGAAGCTGAAGGCCAACAGCCTTTAATCATTACACAATTGATTAATCTTAGAGCAAGTCACATAGCCTATGCCAAACAGCAGGACACTCACAAACTTGCTACCCATGGTGCATGCTGCTGTGGCACATCTGCACATACCTGGAGAACATTAGTGTGGTGATTCTGCCTATACGGTTTCAGTATGCATTATTGTAAAGCCAATGATTGCCCTCTTCCAATCAGCATTTGAAATTCTGTGAGTACTGCATATTTTTCTTTTTACCAATTTTGTCATGCAATCAATTGCATCACAAGATATCACATTATGTTACTTTGTACCACTGTCTTTGGACCATTTACTGTTTCCTTCTCATGTAATAGTCTTTGGAAGAATATCTGGGACCAGCAATGGGTTGAATCAGTATTACTAAAGAAGTGGTTTTTGTCTTACAGTCACCATGCATGGTGTAAGAACATGCTGTATATCAACAGACAGCGATATCACCTAGTACACTGGATATTTGACTGCAATTTATAGCAAAACTTACAGCATTTTGGATTCATCCTATACAATCAATTCATCACTATCTACCTCTCCCCATTGTGTCCACTAACAAAAGCAACTACAAAAACATTTTCTTCAGGCTGAGGTTGAAGTACGTACTTTTCTGCAAATGAATACATAGAAGGACTAGGCATTGCCAAAACCTAGGTGTCATAGTTTATCTTTGTCTCTGTTTTAGCAGGCCTTCAATCATGAGGATCTTAGTCACCACGGATAATGTTTATCCAAATCAATTCCACAAGTATGGGGCTAAGTACCAAGGGCACATTCATAGTGCACCCAAATCTCACTGGATAGCCACCCTTGTAGGGACAACAATGCAACACAGCACATCCTGTATATATCAGGGGTCTTCAAAGATAGCCTTTTTATGACTTGTGGACTTCAAATCCCAGAATTCCTCAGCTAGCGTGCCAGGGAGTTGAAGTCCACAAGTCATAAAAGGGCCAGGTTTCAAGACCCCTGGTATATATGCTCCTAAAGAGATCTACTTGTAGCTGTGCTCCAGCATCTATCCAAACCATGGATCCTACTCAACTATTATAGAAATGAGTGAATACTCAGTCCTACTGACTAAGGTAGAAGTTAGTAGTAGAAATCAAAGACAGCCTGAGTTATGGTGGGCTATAAGGAAAAGGGAAAGAAAATTTCAACATTTCACATAAATATCCTGCAACATACTAATACAGAGTACACAGCTACCTTTTTCTGCATATAACAGCCCATGCTTCAAATACAGGGATAAATGAAAAATTTAGGGAGCATATCTATATCATACTGTGAAAATTCATACTGTGAAAATAACAAAGGTTTGGATAAAAGACTCAATAGTGTTGAGTAGGAATAGGTATTGTGAAAATCCATACAATTCAGAAAATAATAATGATTCATAACTTGCATTCAAAGCATAAATTGGTTCTCAATGGTTAGTTTGAGCAATTGTTGCCTTGTACGTGTGTGTGTTTGTGAGTGAATGAGAGAGAGAGAGAGACTCTCTTGTATGTTGTGTGATCATGACCAGTGGCTGCCCAATTACTGATGCAGTTGGGATTCCAGCCATATATGGAAAACCAAAAGTTGCCTATTTATGACCTATTTAAAATACACAAGAGAATTTTGTATTTATTGCAACTGCTAGTATTTTTACAGACAGCCCTCCTTAAGTTAAGAAAAAATAGATCCTGAAAACTATTGTCTAGAGTCTAGAGGATAGAAACAATACTATCTACATAATATTAAAATGTATTCTTTTAATATAAGCCAAGTATCAAAATCCTACCTCTAAATGCATAGTTTTGCTAGGAATTGCTAAAATGCATGCATTTTTTTCCTTGCAAATATTACATATTGCTGGTAGGAATTTAATTAGTGAAAAATACATATCTATGTAGTTGACTAGGTTATCATGAAGATTATATAAATATTTCTTTGAATTCTAGACAGAAATTGAAAATCCGGTGCATGAAACACAAACACAGAACAACAGTGGGAATTTAGCACATTCGGCTTTCCAACAATGCATCGAAAAATCAAGACTGTGTGGGCAAAAGAGAATTTCAATAATGTTTCTCTAGAAAAGAAAGTAATGATGGTGGGATGCTGACTGATACTTGCTGGAAAAGTGGGCAGTGTTCCATGAAAGTGTCTTCTCTCCCTATACACTGCCTTCCCCTGCACTCCTTCCAGCAGACCATCCCGACTGAAGGAAGAAGGGGTGTTCATGGAGGGGGGGGGCAAGGCCCAGCAACTCGTGCAGGACAAGTTCACGTTCCTGAAGATGCTGGCCATGCGCCCTGCTGAGCTCCGTTGACAACTTGTCCTCCTCTGAGGCAGAGCTGAGGCGTCGGTGGGTTGTGGGCGGGCGGTGACCTCAAAGGTTGGGCCAGGAGGACAGGGCACCTGGCAAGACCCTCAGGGACGCCCCCGTCCAGCGCCGGGGAGGCTGAAGCAACAAGAGGACGCTGTGCTAGAGAAAGGGGGGGAGCGTTGGGCGTGTGCGCGCGCGGTGTTTGGCTTTCTAGTTTTCCACCCCTTCATTCCTGGGGTTTGAAGCAGCGCTCGCATCGAGCAATAACAGCATTCTTGGAAACGTCCTTCGCGTCTGACGTGGTCCTTCGTCGACTGAAAGGAGTCTCTCTTTCGTTCTTCTCTCGGATCGGGACTTTCGTCTCTGGCTGGCGCGGGGCACAAGAAGCGAGAGCGCAGAGAATAGAGTTTTTGGAAGCGGCATCCCTTGCTTTGAAACTGTGGAAAGGTAAAAAAACAAAAAACAAAAAACGCAAAAGCAAATGTGCGGGACTGGGATGGGATAGCATCCGGCTACTCTGAACTAACTGTAACTTTTAAGCTCTACTGTCTCTCCCATTTGTTCGCTGGTAACCTATGGAGCTCTGGAGGAGCAGAGCTTGCCAAACTTTTCTTCTGACAACTCTTCTGCCTTTCCAAAACTAGCTTTTGCCTATGCTATATCTCTCTGCGGGGTGGGGAGAGAGGAGTTCATCTGTCAGTTCCTCTGAATATACGTCCCAGTGAATTTCTTGAAGTCAGATTGTACTGGGATTCCCATCATACATAGCCGGCATGACCCACTTGTTGCCAAAATGGAATGATGGGAGTTGAATTTGGCGGGAGGAAGGTTAGAATTATTTATTTATAAATTAATTCTTTATAGAATGACTGCATCAACTGCTCTGTTTTCTGCATTTGCTTTACAGAATAGTAATCCCAGTAGGTGCAATAATAGTAACCAAAATAATACTTCTTGAAAGCCCCCTAAAATAAAGGAAATGTAGGCCATCCAATCCATAGTGTTCCCCAATTTGGCATTATCCAATTATGTTGGATAACTCTCATCATCCCTAACTGACATAGGCCATGTTTTACTGAGCAGGGCAGGAATAATAGTTCCTGGAAGGTAGGAAATTAAAGACATCACAGGTATGGTGAGTTTGGGAAAAGAATACAAAGAAAGGGAGAAGGGAAGGACCAGAGATCAACTTTAAGGAACTTCAGATAAGCATCTCGTGTATTACTAAAGTCCCCAAAAAGTAACCTTTCCCTTGTTCTTCATAAATCAGTTCCTCTTTCACATACAGGTATGAACTGAATATCAAGGACAATCTGTCTGTTCCTTTTCAAGTCTTGAATCATGTTGTTGGTAGAAAACAGTGCTCTAGATAAAAATTGCAACTGGTGATATGATCTTGAATGAAGGATAGGAATTGTGAAAATTCAGGAAACAATATTACATTCAAAAGGGTGGCTGGTTTTGCATTGTGTGGTGTTTCACAGATCAAAAAGCTGCATGAGCAACTATTGCTACACTGATCACCATTGCTGACTGTTGGGCACCATCATTGGATTGATGGGATTCTAGCAATATATGGAGAGACAGAAGTTGCCTGTAAATATTGTTTTCTTGAATTCAAAATTTAAATTGGGAAAAAGTACATAAAATATAGACATAGATACTAAGAACTGTACATTAAACACGATTTTAAGAAAAAACATATACAAATCAAGGGAGTAAAGTAAGGGTAAGAATTTTCCAGATTAGTTGGAAAAACTGGGATTTATAAACCCAAGAGGGGTATGGTGCACCAGTTTGGAGATCTAATCTTCCACTTAAATTATAACATTTTAAAAGTGCTTAGTTTGGCTATGTCCTAAATGTTTTCAGTTATTCACAGTGTATTTGGCATATAGGGACTAAAAATGAAGAAAATGGTATTATTATATTCAGCTAAGGTACATGAAAGAAGAAACAAGCAGACAGTGGCATTCAGCCAATAACTGAAATATCATCTGCTCTCCTTAGGCCCGCTCTCCTTAGGCCAGCTTAGGCATGTGTTAATTTTCTGATTGTGATTTAAAAAAATAATTACAATGAACAGAAAAGTTATTATGAAGATGAAGACTTCAGAGAATAATGTTAGGAATAAATCATCTACATTTATACTTTATATGTGTGTGTGTGTGTGTGTGTGTGTGTGTGTGTAGGTTAATAAATAACATAAATATATTAATAAATAAGCAATCATGAATATGAACAGAAATAAACAAAGGTAATTCCAAGAAATACAAATCTTCTAGAAAAAGAGCTTCTTTTCCAATATTATTTAATTTGTCATGGTTCTGAATCATCTCATAGTGTATTGTATTATTTATGCAGTGCATTAATTTGGCTAAATATTGGGAGGGGGAAACAGCAGTTAAATGTACTGTAGCAAATTGACATTAGTGGGCTATTATTTTTGATAGAAAGTGTGCGAAAGATTTAAAAAAGTGGAATGTATCTTCAGAATTCTTTTCCTGTGGGAGGTTACTATCTTTTGATGCAAAAGTTGTCATATTGGCTGGAGAGATTGTGACTGTACATTTAGTTGGTGAACCTGTGGAAAATCTGAGCAAGAAGGAATGTGACTGTTATGGAACTACTGCAGAGAAGGATAGGTTAACCTTTTTCACTGCAAAATAGCTGAGCAATTCTAAGGAAATCAGTTGTTGTTGTTGGATAAAGCCAAGAAGTAAAAGATCTCCTGGGTAGGAAACCAACGTTTTAAATATATAAACGTTCTCCGATGGGAGTGAATAGTGGAGTTTTGTCTTTAAAGAAGTTAAAGATGTCTGATCGGTTCTTAGGCAAGACTAAGAAAAAGCCATTCATTCCCCTTGAGTTATACAACTGAAGAGAGACCTGAATAAATTTGAAATAAGGGAGGTTGGTTGTAAAGGAATGTTGGAAAACCATCGCATAGGAATTTGCATTGTTAATCTATTGTGAAAACAAAAAGAAAGGTATTATAAGCACATCTCAGCCACCTCTCTATCCCTTAGAAGTTTTTGTTACATGATTCTGGTTAATCAGCTCACTTCTATTTCCCCTGTTACAGACAGTAAATAGCAAAGAAACTACCAGTGATAAAGCTATAGGTGGAAGAGTGGTTCTGTGTGGAGGGTCTCAGTGGTGGGAGCAGGAGAACAGTTCTGAGGGAAATGCCTGATTCCAAAGAAAGGAAGAGATTGATCCCTAAGCTTCCCTAGAACACTTACGGTCCCCTAGCCACTGAATGGCATACCATGCCACAATTGTGTTTGGAGAATGGCATTCCCATCCTATTCAACCATAACCCACCATGACTTGGTGAAAACACAATAGGAAGGATCAATAGGGACTCAGGAGGAGGAAGAAAATTGTAGTTGCTGAGTAAGAATAGGTAAACGCAGCTAGAAAGTAGCAGAAAATAATCCATCAAAGACAAGAAGAACACTGTATTTTCCCCAAATAAAACCCATAGAACAGGAAATGAAGAATTTGGGGCTGTAGCATGCTAAAATTTCAATTGAGATTGATTGGAATGTTAAGGTGGAAGGCAACCCATTATAGTGAATATGTCATTCCCAATGTCTGAGAAAAAAAAAATCATGGGTTCTAATAGGACAGCTTACTAGTCAGCTGTTAGAAGATAAAGAACTTTGTGCCCTAATACTAAAGGTAGGGTTGTGTTTGTCCATGTGTTTTCAGTGATCACAGCAACAGAGTCTATGAATTCTGTACTGTTGGATGGAAATGAAATAATCTCCCAGAAAAAACAGGAAAGTGGATGTGAATATTAGAAATTCTGAATCAAATCTGGTTTTCCATTTACCTCAATTCAATATTACTATGGATTAATGGATTTTAACAAAACAGATTTTGTTTTGCTAAAATTAATGCTCAACAGAAGTACCCTTCAACTGGTTCCATATTTATTGAATTCTATTTCATCACAGAAAAAAGCTGCTTGAATCAAAGGTATTCTATTTTGAGATTGGGCAGGCTTTAGTTAACCTGATTTCATCATTGTGTGAAAACTTTCCAATAAATCCTAATTTGATGAAAAACCTAATGTATAGTTTTGGATTAAAAAACTAAACAGGATAATCAGTTTAATTTAAATAAAAAAACTTAATTAGCTAACTTTTACTTAATTATACTACTATCAATTTTATCAGTTTGCAAAGGTGTTTAATTCCATTATTCTCAACAGATTATCTTGTTATTTCTAAAGATTATTAGACATTCTGGCTCCACATTTAAAAGTTCAAGTGTTGCCTTGTACTTGAAAAGACAGCTTGTAATATGTAGGTAACAAAATGTTCTTTGGGGTAAAAAAAAAAATCCTCAGAATGTATTTGGGATTTTAATCAATGGTGTTTAAGCAGGATTAGAGGAAACAGCTGGCTAAACAAACATTGAGGCAGAGTGGATGCAATGGTATAAATTAATAATGCTGGTCTTTATTTATGGCATGAATGGGAGGTTTTGTGGAAATAAATGTATTTACCATGGTCATCATGTGCCATCTAGTGGATATAAAAGCATTTTACTACCATCTAATATACAGTGTTTACTAATAGTAAGGCAAGAGTCCCCCCCCCCCAAATATCTGTGAAAGAGCTAACATTTTCCATTCTTACTGTTGATAGTAGTGAATAAGCAGGAGAGGCAAATGGTTGCATACATCACTGCTGAAAAACATGAGTGTCTTTGAATATTATCTGTAGCTTGCATAGGCTATTTTGTAAAGGCTGTTCTTCTAGTGAATCAATTACTTTGATAAAAGGAGTACTATGTTTTACATATAATTGTATTTAATCAGTAGCTATTCATTCAATTATTGGTTTTGCCTGGAGGAGGGGCTTCTTATACATACTCACATACATGCATGCATATATATATATACAGATACAGATCTGTCTCAGATCTTATTGTGAGGGTGAATTTTAAAGATTGATCTGAACTGGAAGTGATAACCCACATGGGAATGTTGTATATCTATGGAGATTTTCAGTCATCCAAGTCATGGTTGTCCCAAAGGTGCTTTTTCATGGAGATGCTGAATTTTGCACAATTTTTGCTCTCTTTATTTTCTGTCTACTCTGTCAGGGTTGTATGTGTTAGATATTATCTTTATTTCAGGATCATCTTCTCCTTTAGATCAGCACTGGATTTTTCAGCTAGCTCTTTTTTCATTCTTTAGCTTCTCTTGTTTTTGATTCTTCTCCAAAGTAAATGCCACCCATCTCACTATTACAATCACTGAGTGGTTTACATATAGAGTGGTACCTTAGTACTAATCATTAATTGGTTCCAGAAGGATGATGAGTACCAAAAACAATGAGTACCAAACAGATTTTTCCCATAAGAATGTTGTTCGTCCATCGATTTTGATGAAGACCTTGACATCTTGTGGGTTGTGGGCCATCAACGAT